CTCCCTCCCTCCCTCCCTCGCTATCGCGCGCGCGGGCGCGCACGTTCTACACATGATCGCTAGGCTGCTCCGGCGATGTTTGCCGTTGGTTTTCCGTTTCCCACGCCAAGCTCAGAACAGCCAACAGTTACACGCCGACAAATGCCTTGTGTCTTTGCCTGCCGAAGCAACTACTTGGGCTCTGCTAATTTTGGTCGAGTGCCATAACCGATCTGTGGTGTTTCTTATGAAACGCGACAGGATTCTGTTCCCTCCGTGAACCATCGTGCTGATGAGAGCCTGGCTGGCTGACACGTAGGTGATGGGTTGGAGACGTATTACATGTACGCGCCGTCAAACATCGCCGTTCTTCCACGGCTGATTTCTCCAAAACTACCAAAAACAAGCGATGGCTGATCCTCGCGTAGGAGGCGAAAATACCGAGGGGTAGTTCCTACGAAGTATCTTTTCGACAAGGGTCTGCCGGAAACGGAGTTCGGGACATGCACCAGAACTGTCTATCTAAGCATTTCTATTTTCGTTCAGGGGGCGGGGGGTAATCACAGCCGAGCATGTCGTAGTCGTTGGGCCGTTGACTTCGCATCCCTACAAAGCCGGTACGGAGCACGCCGGGGTGTCACGGGACCAGGCTCTCACATCACCAAGCGCGAAGCGCCGTGAAGTATTCGGCGAGTAACATGGAGGGTGCGCTGCATCGTGCTGAGAGTGTTCGGCATCTTGTGCTTACTTCCTTGCATGCGGATGACAGCTGCGAGCGACTTGATGTATTTTCGGGTAGTTTCACTTCCAGAGACAATGGTAAGGGTTTTGAAACTGCCTTGAGGGTGCTTGGCCAATTTAACACAACGTGGTGCGATTATCCCTCTTGCGCGGAGTCAGTCCGCACAACACAATCTACTCGACCACCATTCATGGTTAGGCGGTTTCTTAAAATTCCAGTTGAAAAATTGAAAATTTCAATTCCCAGCCGAACAGAGCTTCTTACGGTTTGGAAAATCGATTTTTCAACTCGGGCCAGAAAATAATGGAAACGCTCTGCGCAGTTGAAAAATTCAGAAATTTTCAAGTCGCGACCGAGTTGAAAAAGCTAGTTGGAAATCCAAACCTAGGGGGGGGGTGCATCACACAGACCCCCCACCCCACCTGCTTTGGTCGCTGGAAGCACCCGACGGTGCATAACAGCGCACCACAGGGCATCACAGCACAGCACAGCACAGCACAGCGCGTGTCATCCTAGCACAGCGCCTCACACGCGCAGACCCGGTGCTTGTTGTCAGCGCGGTGCGCCCGATATGGGGACCGGTGACGATCTGTTTGAAGCAGCAGTGCTGTCAGTCGCGTTGGCGGCTTTGCACCAGATCCAAGAGGAGGATGGTCGCCGGCGCACAGCACGCTCGGTATCCTATTGGGATGCTGTGCTGTTCGACGAGGATTCGGAGGACGAGGAGGAAGTCGTCGGCCCGAAGGTTAAGAGGACACGACGCGTCACGCAGCGGAGGGATTGGCGTACCTCTGCCTGGTGGGAGAAGCTTCAGGATGTCGACCTCGCCGACCACACTACGGCCGCTGCAAAAGTGTTTCGAGAGCGCTTTCGTGTACCTTACCCCTTCTTTCAAGAACTGGTCAAGCTGTCAAGGGCGAAGCGGTGGTTTTCGCCGGGGGAGAAGGATGCAGCTAACCGCGAAGGAATACCACTCGAACTGAAGGTACGCACGTCTACCCGTGTGTGCGAACCTCCTACTGCACGCCTGTCGCCTGACGTAAGGAGTAGAGGAACAAGGAGGGTCTCATGTCTACGGCAGGAACACTGTAGCTGGGAATAGTAGACGGAACGCCTACGTGCTGCAGTACCCAAACACTTCTGCATGCGGTAGACAAGGCAAGACTAGGCAGATCAAGCCTCGCGCCTTCCTTTAGACTAGTCTATCCTGAAACTCTGTACAGTTTCAGGTGTCTGTGTGCCAACAGAAACACCAAAATCTCTATATTGACCGTATCAGAGCTTCGGATGTGCCGGGGAGGTTCGTTCTTAAATTTCCTGTTGTGTTTTCTGATATTGTACTTCGTGAACATCCTACAGTGTCCGTTCCACGTTAAGTTCGTCGTACATACAGTAGTCTAGCCCCCCCCCAGCCGCTCTCTCTCCCTCTCTCTCTCTCTCTCTCTCTCTCTCTCTCCTTATCTTCCGTAGTGCAACCAAGGGTAGCAAGGTTGCCGATGCAGAGTGTTGCAGCGCCCCTGCTGTTGGTATACGCAACTTGATTTTGAATCACAACGTTGAGGAAACGCAATGGCCCGCGTGCTTGTTTACAGCTGGACCGCATGTTTGCCTCTCTTGTGGTGCCCTTCCCGGGGTGGTCGGGGGGTTGAGTGTACTGGTTGGTACCAACAGTGCTGGCCTCCTTGTATGCAAGCGGTATCCCCACCGCCCTTTTCTTGCTCCCCTTCTACAAACATGTACAACACTCCATA